TGACTTGACATCTTCCTTCTTCTTGGTTTCCTCAATTCAGCTCGCTGCTTCTCTCGTTTTGGACTCAACACAACTTGCCGAAGACAAGGATGCATCAGATCAAGTCGCAAGGTCCTTCCTCCTCCTCCTCCTCCTCCTCCTCCTCCTCCCTCCTCCTCCTCCTCCTCCCTCCTCCTCCTTCCATTTCGCTTCCTCCTCCTCCTCTTCCTTCTCTTTCCACTCCCCCGCTCTCTTCTCTGTCTTTCTGCCTGTTGACTCTTATCATCGATCAGCCTCATCACTCCCAAGGAAGCAAGATCGTACCAGAAGCTCGCTCCTCTTCGCAAGGTCATTGTCTCCCTCCTTCCTTATCCCATTCCCTTCGTCCTTCATCATCATCATCATCATCATCTCCATCATCATCATCATCATCTCCATCATCATCATCATCACCACCACCACCACCACCATCATCATCATCTCCATCATCATCATCATCTCCATCATCATCATCTCCATCATCATCATCTCCATCATCATCATCACCGTCTCATCGTCGTACTCTCGCTCCTCCTCCTCCTCGTCCTTACACATCGGCAGGCTGTCTCGTTCTTGTCAGACGAAGTCGTTTACAACATCTTGAAGCGATACGACAGTGAGAGACAAGGTGAGCGACTTCAGTCAGGATAGGATGGACAAGGGGAAGGGGAGAGAGAAGAAGTGCAGGAGAGTGGGCGGGAGGAGAGAAAGAGAGAGGAGGAAGAGGAGAAAGGAGAATGAGAAAGGAGGAGAACGAAGGAGGAAAAAAAAGGGGAAGGAGAAAGGAGGAGAAAGGAGGGGAGGGAGAAAGGAGGACGAGGACGAGGAGGAGGAGGTGGTGGTGGTGGTGGTGTTGGAGAGAGGAGGAGGATCTGACTGCACGCAGGAGAGATATCAGAGGCGTCGCTGATCGAGGGGATGAAGGAGATGGTAGAGATGTCAAGACAGTGAGATGAAGTCTCGTCTTGTGACCCGCTGACTGAGAGCAACAGGAGCGAAAGAGATCTCGACGTCCCTTTCCTCCTCCTCCTCTTCCGCAAGGTCCTCCCCTCCCAACCCCCTCCCTGCCTCCGCCTTCGCCTCCGTCTCCGCTGCTTCCTCCAACTCCTCCCCTTTCTTCTCCTGTTTTTACTCTACCTCCTTTTTCTCCTCTCCCTTCTCTCTTCCTCGTCCTCGTCCTCGTCCTCCTCGTCGTCCTCCCTTTGCTAAGATTTTCCATGCAGGAGAAGCTTGTAGAGAAAGACAGAGTGAACTATCTTCAGTTCCTCTCTTTCGTCATCAACGCGGTCAATTGATCAACCTTGCGGAGTCCTTGTCTTATCATGAGGGTCGAGGAGTTTGAGTTGAAGATGTTTGTTGATCGTGACAAGTACAAGAAGCAGAAACAGAGTGCGTGACAACGACGAAATCCTTCTCCTGCAAGAGCAGCGGAATATCTCCTGATACTATCACAACAAGAACCTACTCTTGACCACCAAAACCAACACCATCACCATCATCAACAACAACCATGAATAGATCGGACTCATTTCATCATCGCAATACCCACAAAACAGACATCACAGGAGTAGTCGGCGAGCTCGCGCTCTTCAAAGGTAGTACACAGGTCCCACCATACGCGCTCTCTCCCCCGGTTGATCTGGAAAGACAATGTGAGCTGAGCCAACAGAGGAGGAGCGAGGAGGTTGACCCATGACGTGCTTCTTGGTGCTGCTGATACTGTCTTGTATGCTGCTCATGTTGTGTCACTGCCACATCTACGACCACTCTTGCTAACCTCGCCATCATCTTCGATCTATCTTGTGCCTCCCCTTGCAGTCTGCTCGGGCTAGTTTGTTGCCTGCTCGGGCTAGTTTGTTGCCTGCTCGGGCTGGTTTGCTGCCTGCTCGGGCTGGCGGACCATCTCAGTTGTGAAGGTGAAGGTCGTAGCTTTACCTCCCTCCTTGTTTCGATGTCATCAGCAGCTTCATCTCGTCCAGCTGATGCGCAACAAGACATGTTACAGCCGTCGTCGTAATCGTGGTCATCAGCATCATTATCATCATCTCCATCATCATCTCCATCATCATCATCAGCATCATCATCTCCATCATCATCATCATCTCCATCATCATCATCATCATCATCATCATCATCATCATCATCATCATCATCATCATCATCATCATCATCATGTCATGTTCAATCACCACTCACCCTCGCTCGAGACTCCTCGAGCTGCTTCTTTGTCTCTTCCAACTCCCTGCTCCATTTTTCAGCACCTCCTCGATCTCTGCCCTCCTCACTTTCCTCTTCCTGTACGCAAAGTTCTCTTGCACCAGCGGAGAGTTGCTCGCGCTATGGTGATGGTGATTGGTCCTGAGCTGAGGATAAGAAGGAAGGGAGGTGCGAGGAAAGTGCCGGTCACCGGAGGTTGTTTGAATCAATCTGAAGGTCTGCCGCTCCTTTCTTCCTGGGATCTGCAATTGCAGATCATACTGGTCAGTCCTTTTGAACATCAACGAAAGTTTGGCGACCTTGATTGTTCTGCTGGCATGTGAACGATCGCAGAAGGAAGAGGAGAGGAGAGGAGAGGAGAGGAGAGGAGAGGAGAGGAGAGGAGAGGAGAGATAGAGAAGAGAAAAAAAAGAAGAAGCATTAACAACAGCATCTGGAAAGATCGTCTCATCCTACATCGCTCTGCCTTGCCCTCGCAAATGTATCCCCAGCGTCTCCCCGATTCTCTCTCCTGCCCTCCTTGACCACCCCACCTGCCAATCCCCGTCACCTTCCCCACCGCAAACCCACCAGCCCACCACCTCCTCCTCCTCCTATCGCTTCCGCTCTCCTGTCCAAGTAACGAGGCCGATCTCCCACCACTTGACCCATCATGTCAAGCTCTGAAACAATCTTGTTCGCTATCGTCAGCCCCTCAGCACGACACCTGGCCCAGAACTGACCTGGACAGGAGCTGGATGAGGAGCTGGAGAGAATTTTTCCCTGCGCCGTTCCCGTGCCGGAGGGGAGACGGAACGATCGCTGCAAGTGACGTCGTCAACTCAGCAGACGACTTCCTCCATCTGCTTCACTTCGTTCGCTTCAGGAAGGGCAGGAGGCTCTCCGGCGCAAAGTCATCGTGAGGAGGAGAAGCTTCACGGGCTGCGGGGAGTCAGAAGACAGGGGGGGGGGGGGAGGAGGCGACAACGTTGGACACCAGCGACGGATACAAACACGAGCAAACAACCAAAAAGTCGCAGAGATCACAGAAATGAGACAGTTGTCAGTGTACGGCGAGAGGAGGACGTGTATTCGGATTCATGCAGCAATCATGTGATGTCACATCTCACAGGGGATACCAAGACAAGAGATCATCAAAGTTCATCGCAAGCCGCATCATCCTTCCAACGAGCACGTTCATTACCAAGATGGCTGTCAAATTGTGGGGAGCTGCTGAAGTCCATTTTCTTCTTGACGGCGCTCCCTTGCTTCGAGATGCTCGCTGCTACCGCTCTTAGAGGAGGGAAATCAAACCCAACACGGTAGCTCACGGCTCTGACTTGAAAAGATGGAAGAGGCAAAAGAGGCAACGTCGGGGGTTTCCTCGTTGGAGAAGGGAGAGAGTAACGAGAGGTTGTGAAGGTGAGAGCTGTTTTGCTCTTGATCCTGTTGTTTGCTGTCTGCGAAGCAAGAAAGAAGAAGCCAAGAGTAAAGAAATGGATTCAAAACAACCTCTCCTTGGAGAGAGAGCAGGCAGCGCTACCGTTCTTCGAAGGGGTCTGGTATGTGTTGCCTTTCCCTTTGAGCTTCGACTTGTTGGAGCTTGCTTCAACTTGTTTCTCATGTTCCTGCTCGCTGTCAAGCACCTGATACTTTTCTTCCTCCTTGCTCGGTGTGATAACGCTGTCCACCATGGCCGAGACTGCCGTCCACTCCCTCTCAAGCTCTCCCTGCTCCTTGTCCAGCTTTGCCTTTGCGATGATTTGTTCGTACTCCTTCTCCTTCATCTTCTCCTGCAGTGTAAAACGAGTCAAACTCAATGAAAGAAGTCTCCTTCACGACTGAGGGGATAATGATTCGACGTGAGGGCAGGACAAGGTGGGGCAAGAGCATCACCGCAAGGCGATGCTCGTCTTGCTGCTTCTTCAACCTCCTGTACGTCTTCCTCGTCATCTCTCCTCCCACTTGTCCCACGCGCGCAAGCTGCAAAACATCTTGAGCCGCCAGCACAAACCGACTCCCCTGCCGACCTCCAACTCGCGACCAAGAAACGCCTGGAGGTGCTTGCAGGTTCTCATCTCACGCGGAACAGTGTCCAGCGCTTGATAGCGCCAGAGCGGGCAAGTACAGGAGATTATCAACCCCTTCTTCTGCATCACGTAGCTCCTTCCATTCGATCCCATGACGCTGATTGGTTGCCCGCTGGACAAGAAAACCCTTCAGTCGCAGAGCCTGCTTCCTCGCAGGAGCAGGGACTACCTTTCGAACTGATTCCTCTGCGATGTGAGGTTGGCGGTCCAGCCACCATTGCCTTCCCGATGCAGTTCATCCATATCAGCCCTGAGGTAAGAGGTATGAGATTTTAAACTGAGCGGGGTATACATCCGTCTCCTTCTACCCTAGCTGACTCTCTATCCTCTCCTTTCTCTTCTCTCCAATTTTCCTCTCCTCCTCCTGCGCCTCCTCCTCCCTCGTCCCCCCAGCCTCCTCCGTTTCCCTTCCCCTCCCGGGCATTTGCTTCGCAGCCAGCCATGGCTCAACGGTCTTCAAACACAGTGTTTCTTGTAACACGTCTATGACACCATGATTAAACTAAATTCTAGTGATATATATTTTCATTTACTATTGATTATTGGAATTAAGTGATAATAATAAGGACCCACCCACCAGAAGCCGGGACCCCTTGTCCCCTGACCCGACGAAATTTCCTTGTCCGAGGAATCACTCTAGTATATCAGACCGTTACAGGCCGTCTCACTGTAACGAAACCAATAACGGCGTTTGTAACTGTTATACGACCGTTACACACAGCGCTATGCCGGTATAACGGAATTAACTTGCGCTAGTACCACGGCACTTTTAAAAAAAAAGGATTTCAAAGGACTCGATTTCGATCCGGAATATAGTACTGAGTTTACTACAGCAAGCACGGTTGACAATTATTGTCATGCAATGCCAAAGCTAGCTGGACGGCATGACCCACCCCATGTCAACTCGTCACAAGTTCATAGGGCAGTGCTAGGACCTCTCTAGAACATTGACTTTCCTAGGACCCTGCTACGACCAGGAATGCCAGTCATCGTTATAAAAGCCCCTGCTCGAGCACCTGCTGCTCGAGCCTTGAAGGCAGTGAGCGATGAGTGGGAGGAAGAGGATGATGCTGCTGCTGCTGCTCCTGCCCTCCTGCTGTGTCAGCTGGGCAGGAGCAGAACAATCAGTTCAATGCGGAGCTACAGCCACGTTCATTGTCTCTGACTCGGGAGTTCTCAGTCGACAGGGAGCCTGTGGCACTGATTGCACATACCTTTACTTGTTCTCCAAATCAATCAACTCGGTGAATGTCTCAGCTTTCCAAGGATGTACGTCTTTGCGATCTCTTTCTTTAAGCTTTAATTATCTGACTTCCATCCCCTCTGGATTGTTTGAAGAAACATCTGCATTGTGGACACTTGATCTCAGTTACAACAAAATATCCAGCATCGCATCCGATGCTTTTGTGAATCTTCACAGCCTCTCAAGTTTGAATCTGGCTTCCAACAAGCTGACCATGCTGCCTGAAGAAATTTTCAACATCACTACATTGAGCTTCCTCACGCTCGACAGCAACGAAATCGTCTCAAGCGTACCTCAGCAGTTCTTTCAGAAGCTGACTGAACTGATATACCTAAGTCTTGATACGGCCATGCTGTCCAGCATTCCTTCCAGCACTTTGATGTCATTGAGGAGCTTGTCCTTGAACAACAATTCTCTTTCTGGTCAGAGCGGTGTTGAGGAGAATTTCTTCGACAAACTAGTTGTTCTTAGATCACTGACTCTGGACAACTTCGATGGTAGCTTTTTGCAGCGTGCAGATCTGAAGAATCTCTCTGATACTCTGGACTCACTATCTCTGTATGATGTAGCGCTTTCAAGCATCCAAGAAGGACTTTTTGACAGCTTCGTGAGGTTAACACGTTTGTTTCTTCTTGACTGTCAAGTAGAACGACTGCCAGCGAGCACGTTTGACAAGCTGACAGAGTTGACGTATCTTTCTATAAGTATGAATGATAAGTTGCAGAGCCTTCCAGCTGGAATCTTTGACAAGCTGACCAAACTGACGACGCTATCGCTGGATTGGAATGGTCTGACAAGTCTGCCGATGGGATTCTTTGACAAGCTGTCGAATCTAGAAGATCTGGATCTCTCTTTCAATCGACTCGCGTACCTGCCGGCCATCGCTTTCATGAACCAGACACAAACCGTCCAGATCGACTTGATGTACAATGACATCACATGCTACCACCAGGCGTGGCCTGCCCAGACTCGATATTCCAGTGCTGTAGAGCTATGCCAAGTGCAAGCAGTGTCGTACGTGTTTGGCCTTGAGACAACTCTAGAGCAGTTCGAGGCTATGAAAGAAGCTTTCGTTGAGAGCGTTGCTTTCGTGGCTATGGTTGCCAGGTCGAGTGTCAGAATCTTGCAAGTGACGGGGCCATCGTCAGGTCGGCGCCTGCTGGCGGGGGGTGTCAATGTTTCAACGGACATCATCTTTGACAGCTCCTACAGTGCCAAGACGTTCACAGTAGAGCGTCTGAATCAGGAGCTTGCTATCAAGGGTCTTGCCACTGTCACTAGCGCCGTTGCAAATCGATCGTATGACGTTGCGGCCACCGACACTTCTACTACCGACAGTACTGCTACGAACCCTTCTACTACCGACAGTACTGCTACGAACCCTTCTACTACAGACAGTACTGCTACGAACCCTTCTACTACCGACAGTACTGCTACGAATCCTTCTACTACCGATGCCACGGATACAACCTCATCTGGCACTACTCAAACTGATACTGCTTCATCATCCATGGCGAATGTCTTCCAGTCGTCAGCATATCAGTCGTATGTGCCGAGCTCGGGCGGCAAGACTCCCTCCTGGATCACCCTCGACAATTCCTACAAGCGCAACTCAAGGACGCTGACGAATTTCTGCATGACGTGCGTGGACGGCAGGCTTCACTGTGAGATATGCTCGTGCTCATGCACCTCCTCCTACTCCTCTCCTTTCCTCTTCCCCATTTCTTTCTTGCCCTCCCTCCAGCTCTTCCTCCACTCCCTTCCCCTACTCTCTTCGTCTTGCTTGTCTTGACCCTGCTGCTGCTGCTGCTGCTGCTGCTTGTATGGGCTGAGGTCAGCGGCAGCTCTCAACTCGGACGCGGCCTATCAAGTGTTCGACCCAGCATCCAAGAGCTGGAGCGATTTCACCAACAAGTTCGGCGGGGTCAACCCAAAGAGCGGGTTCCGGTATGCCATAGCTGGAGCAGGCGACTCGGTGTTGGCCCTGGGGTACTACGGTAAGGGAGGAGGGAGGAGGTGGGGCTGTGACAGGTGCGTGTCCTCTCAGATCTGTCGGTATCTCAGGTGCTCAACAAGGAGCTCTTCGGTCTCAACTTGTCGAGCATGACATGGACTAACTACACTTCTCTCATGACCGGCACCAAGCCGCCCATAAACTTCTTTGGCTCTGAGAAGATAGCAGCTTGTGGATCAGACTTATTCCTGATCGGGTTGTACTCGGATCCAGGCATGTACCGACTGGACCTCAACACCATGGCATGGGCAAAAGAGACGTTTCTAGATGATTACAAGTTTCGATCTATCACTGGTGGCACGATCGATTACACCGACTTCATGTCATTCCAAGACAAGCTATATTGTATGGTGACAACCGCCGATGACGTTTACTTTCTTTACCGCAGCAACCGCAACACGACGGCATGGAACGTTTTGTTCAAAGGATCTGACAACGCGGACACCTTCAACGCTTTGCTGAATCGAGCGACGGAATACAGAGCTGCGGTCAACAACCTCGCCTTTCACGGTATCTCGTCGTGTTGGTCGTAAGTTGAGTCATGCTGACCGTGCCCCAGCAATGATCAAGTTCGGGTTGTCGTACGCGGAGGTGGCAGGCATGGCGCAAGAAGCCTTGCTGACCAACGAGACGGAGACTTATCGCTTCAGCTCCTGCGAGGACGGCAAGATCTTCGCCTACAGCACAACGAGCGCAGGTGCGAAGCCTCTGACATGGCATGTGCTCACGCGGGTCAACAGGGATGATCATCTTCGACGTGTTTGCTGGAGCCTCTCAGGCTCTGCTCAACTCTGGGGAGGCGCTTCACCCCGCCGGCTCACTCCACATCTACAGCATCGACAGCAGCATCGGAGGGACGTTGAACCCGCTGACGAGATGGCGAGACTCGCTGGTCGTGCTGGAAGGTGCGGGGGCTGACGGGAGTTTGCGGGTCTAGCGCTTGACTTGCTCTTGTCAGGCGTCTGCGCTTACGGTTGTGACCCTCAGCGTCAGCGGGTCACGAGGTTCGATGTCAACTCCTTGTCATGGACGACTCTGCGGGAAGCGAGCAGCCAGACCTCGTTCTCGCATCTGTCGGTGTGGAACGATGAGCTGTATGCGCTGTCGATGAGCAACGTCTCGACTATCTTCAAGCTGGGAGGCGATGGAGCTTGGAGTGAGATCGAGACCGTGGTAACGGATGAGATCATCTCGGAGCTGCAGGCGCTTCCTTTGGTCGCTGCATATGCCCTGGTTGAGAACGATTACGCGACAGCGAGCTCCAAGTCGTTGTTTGTGGTTCAGTTCGATGAGTTCGCCAGAGGTGATAGAGCTTACATGGTCGCATCCGTTGTTCACTGGCGCATGCTTGCTCGTTGATTCACTCAGAGCTTGTCTTGTGTTGTTCTTGTCAGCTCCATGGGCTCTAACGAGTTTGGCCAGGATCCGGCAGAGGTGTTTTCACCTTCAACGTCACCGACAAGCTGTGGAGGAAGCATGTTTACAGCAACGAGTCCGCTCCTAACAAGTACGTGCACTCGATAGCGGCAACAGATCGCTATGTGTATCATTTCGGAGGCTACAAGATCGACCTTCAAGACATGTTCAGCATCTACATATGTGAGATTATTCTTCTCCTGCTGCTGCTTGCTCGTGACACGTCATCAGCGTCGACGCATGAAACCAACGACTGGCTGTACCGCTTCGACCTGGAGAGCGACGAGTGGACGGTTCTGTCCAAGACGCAGGCGTACTCGCCTCCCTCCCGGCTGAATGCGGTGATGATGGTGGAGGGGTCGAGGCTGTTCGTGTATGGGGGGTTAGCGAGCGGGATGGTCTTCAAGACCTTTGCGGACCTCTACTCGTTCGACCTCGACAAGCTGGTATGGACCAGGTGGTTCGCAAGAGACGACAGCGTCACCGGCTCCTCCCTCATCGCTCTCGGCATCTCCTCCGCTCTAGGCAGAGTCTTCACCCTGTCCAGCTCGTACTCGATCTCTGCCCGCGACCTCCCCAAGGAGCGACAGCCCTCGAGATCTCTCGTCCTCGACCTGGCGCTGTCTACCGACTGGGATACCTTGAGCATCAGCTCCTGCCAGGACGTCAGCACCTGTCGCAGCATCCGCACCTCCGTCTCCCTGTGCTCGCAGCCTTGGATGCCCTGCTACCTCTCCATCAAGGGCTCTCCTGCTGCTGCCCCTCCCGCCTCCCTCCGCCGCGCGGCTGCGGGTCAAACCCCGACGAGGTCCATCGAGATGCTGGGCAACGCGCGCATCCAGTGCGACGCGAGTCGAGGATGCAGTGGGATCGAGCTGGAGGGCGTCGACCTAGTCTGCAAGGGCCTGCGCGACGCTCCTGAGGCTCCTCTGCGCGTGCTCGGGCTCGGAGCTCACCTCAACCTCGTCGACGCGAGCGTGAGCGCCTGCCACACGAGCGACGACGGAGGAAGCATCCAGGTGTACGGGGGCTCGAGCGCTTACCTGCTACGAGTCAGGATCGTGGGGTCGACGAGCAGCGGGAGCGGAGGAGGGATGGTGCTGCAGGGGTCGAGCATGAGCGTGTACGAGTCGAGCTTTGAAGGCTGCAAGGCAAGTCAGGGAGGAGGAGCAATCCACCTCCGTAGTCAGGCGCTCGAGTACTTCCCTACCGTCCTGTCCAAGCCCGTCGCCTTCATCCAGTCGTCGCAGTTCCTGTCCAACTCAGCGAGTCAAGGAGGAGCTCTGTCGGCCGAGGCCCCCTCCTCCCTCTTGATGAAGGGCTGCTTGCTCCAGGAGAACCGCGCCAGTCAGGACGGAGGAGCGCTATACCTGGACAAGACCACGGCTCGACTGGACGGCAACTCGTTGGTGGGGAACGCGGCGGGAGGAGGAGGAGGCGGAGTCTTGTGGGATGGAGTGCAACCTGTGCTGGTGTCTGACTCCGAGGAGGAGGACGCTGTCATCCTGTGCTCTAAAACGGGGAAGGGCCACACGGCCTCGTACGGGCCCTGCGTGGCCTCGACCTTCCATGAGCTGCTGCTGGTGATGGAGGGCAAGGAGATCGCTTCCGGCATCCCCTTCCCCCTCCGCGTCACCAAGCTCGACTTCTACCGGCAGGCGATCACCACTGACTCCTCTTCCTCCCTCCAGATCCGCACGGTCAAGCCCTCGGCCAAGAGCGGGACCGCCGTGCTCATGGAGTCAGCAGTGCTGAGCCTCAAGGAGGGAGCTGCGAGCACCAGCGCTACAGTGAAGATGTTGTTTACCAAGGCCGGGAAGGAGGAGGCGTTCCCAGCTAAGGTGGAGGGGCTGGTGGGGCTGGAGGCGTACGGGGTGGATGTCTCGTCGGGCAAGGAGATCAAGTCCAACGTCCTAGAGGCTCAGCCTCGGCCGTCAGTGTGTCCGGTAGGCCACGTCATCAAGACCGACGCCTCCAGCTTCCCTTCCTTCGCCGTCTGCGACCGATGCTCCCCCGACTCCTACGCGCTGACGCCCTTCGCCGGGAGCAACGCGAGCAACCCCGCGTGCTTGCGCTGCCCTCACGGGGTGGAGTGCGGAGGAGGAGAGCTGATCAGAAACAAGAACGGGTTTTGGTTCAACAAGAGCATCCTATCTCCTGCCGTGCCCCCGCGAGCGACGGAGCTGCGAGCGTATCGGTGTGCGGATGGAGCATGCTTGTACGACTTCGAGTGCAGGGAGGGGCACGAGGGTCGGGTAAGCGCATCAGCCTCGCGAGCTCTCGTCTGACTGGCTCCTCTCTCCTCAGCTCTGCGCGTTGTGTGTGCAGACAACGAGCAAGGAGGACTTCTTCTGGGCGCTGAGCAACCGCGAGTGCACGAGGTGCGACAAGAAGGCGGCAGGAGCAAGGATCTTCATCCTTGTCGCCGGCATGGTCTGCTTCATCTTGTTCTGGTGCGGTGACGCTGTTGCTTGTGGGAGGAGATGACGAGGAGGATGCAGGTGCTGGTTCTTCCTGCTGCCGCTGCTGCGCCATTACAGCATGTGCAGCTCGATCACGAGCATGGTCGATCAAGGTCTGCACGGACTGGAGGCGAAGAAGGAAGGAGTGTGGAAGAAGCTGCATGATGGGCTGATGAAGCATCGATCCAAGATCGGGTACATCAAGGTGCTCATCGGTACGAGAGAGAGGCCGCAGCCTCCGACTCCCTGCTGACGGGGCCTCAGGCTTCGTTCAGATCTCCTCTAGCATCATCACAGTCTACAACATCGAGTGGCCCAGCCTGATCTCGCGCCTCCTCTCAAGCATCGCCTTCTTCAACCTTGACTTCCTCACTCTCCCGCAGATCTCCTGCTCGGCCTCTGACCTCTCCTTCTCCGACAAGCTCCTCGTCTACACCCTCGCCCCGCTGGGGCCCCTCCTGCTCATCAAGGTCCCCCATGCCATCACACTGGTAGGGAAGCAGCTGGGGCGGGGCGAGGAGTCAGAGGGGCTGTACCACAAGTTCATGTTCTGGAGCATGTAAGAAGACCTCGCTGTTATGTCCTCTCCTCCCCTCAGCTCGCGAATGCTCCCACAAGACTCCTCCTTTGTCTGCTGTTGCTCGTGCTCGTGCGCTTGCTCTTGCTTTATCCTGACAGGCCTGCTCAGCTTCATGATCTACCTCATCTACATCCCCGTCTCCTCCATGGTCCTCAGCACCTTCCTATGTCAAGACCTCGGGGACGACGGCAGCTGGCTGGTGAGAGACTTCCGAGTGCCGTGCCCGCGAACGTCAGGCAGCTTCTCCTACGGGTGGGCCATCTTCACCACCATAGTGTACCCCGTCGGCTTCCCTCTCGCCATCCTCGTCCTGCTCTACCTCCTGCGGGTCCCCGAGCTGGCGCGGGCGAAGCAAGAGCATGCCTTCTATGAGAGCCTGCACAAGCTCGGGTACCTCAAGGGGCAGGGGCTCGGGTGGGAGGACATGAAGGCTGTGAAGCAGCGATGGGAGGAGCGATGGGAGACGCCGCTGTTCCTGCAGCTGGAGATGTCAGAGGTGCGGCGACTGATCAGGGTGCTGACAAGGCTGCTAGAGGAGACAGCAGAGGACGATGCGATGCTGAGTCCGCAGGATGTTTGCGGAGATGACCTCAATGAAGTGATGATGGAGAAAGTAACGGAAAAGGTAGAGGACACAGTGGAGAAGGTGTTGGAGGACGAGGAGGAGGAGGAGGATGAGGGCAAGGGAGTCGGAGGAGCACAACAGGGCAAGCAAAACGTCTCCATCAATGTCTCGCTTGCGTACGCCAACAACGGCACGAGACGCGACAACGGCAGCCCGGCAGAGGCTCCGCAGGCAAAGAGAGGGGGCAGAGCTGCGCTGGTCACGGACATGGTGAAGGCGATGATGGCGAGCGACGGCGAGGACGAGAGCAGCACGCGCTTGAGACTGCAGGGGCTCTACAGCCAAGCGATCAAGCGAGAGATCATACAGCAGCCCAAGATCTGCTGGTCCAGACGCTCGGACGGAGAAGGAGCAGGAAGCTGGCTGGAGGAGCAGGAGACGTACGCAATGAACGTGGCGGGGTTTCTCTTCTCCATGTACGAAGTGAAGTACTGGTGGTTCGAGGTGTTGGAGCTGATCCGGAGGTTGACCACCTGCATCCTCATCAGCTTCTTCTTCACCGGCACCATCTTCCAGATCGTCGTCGGCCTGTCGTTCCTCTTCATGTCCCTCGCCGCTCACAGCTACCTGAAGCCCTTCCAAGACCCGACTCAAGACAGCATGATGTTCTTCTCTCTCATCGCCAACTTTGGCACTCTGCTATGTGAGGGAGGGGAGAGGTCGGCTTGCGAGTGCTCTGACAGAAGGTGCAGATGGCGTCAGCCTCAAGCTGATGATGGTGGACGAGCTGCGGGTCGACTCGACCTCGTACGAGCTGGACATCGCGCAAGGCTTCCTGGTCTTCGCCAACATCTTCATCCTCGCCTACCCCGTCCTGCAGACGTCCTGGGAAGTCTTCGGCTCGGGCAGCTTGGCGGCGATCATGGCGAGGGCGCAGCTGGAAATTTTCAATCTGATTGCGAGGCGAAAAGATGGGATGGTTTAGTTGAGCTGACGAAGTTGTCGCATCAAGTGGTCAGTGTCACTCAAATCTGAGCTGATCAAGTTTTGTGCTGTTCAGTCAAGGTTGTCAATGAAGCCATAGTGGTTGTTTCAATGCCTACTTGAGGTAGATGAAGTAGATCGAGACGCTGAGCAGGTCTGTTAGGACAGAGCAAGACCATGACCATGCCCATGACCGTGACCGTGACCGTGAGCAAGAACATAAACTCGACCGTGAGCAAGAGCAAGACAACCGAGGACTCCCTGCACACACTCTGCTTCTTCCTTGGGCTCCATGTTCGATGTCACGGTCGGTGCTGGGTCACTTGATGCAGTTTTGTATTCATATCAGTGCTGTTTGATTCTGCTGTCTGATCATGTTTGTTTGATCTCTCTCCCTTCGAGTCTAAGGAAACGACAACAAGGAAAGATGCACAGCTGCCGTGTAGGTTGTTCCAGGGAAGCGAGGTGGAAGATATCATGAATCTCCTTCAATGGTTGATGTTTGATCATACACTCTGACAAACTTTCTGAATAATATTCGCACTGCTGTTCGGATCGTCACGCGTGACAGATACAACCGTGACCAAAGGAAACTACACAGCCGCAATCCTTCTTGTCAGAACCTCACCTAGCTGATCTTGTACATGTTCTGATGCTGGTCCTGCAGCTGAGGATACTTCAACAGATACTTGAAGTTTGGGGGACAGCGGCAGGCCTCTCTCAGTCAGTGCCGGCCCGGAGAAACGGGAACCATGGGCCCGGGCCCGGACCTCAGGCTGTATGAGGGCTGAAAGCTCAAGTCCGAACTTACAAAACAAGTTGGTGGGGTCTTGTTGCACCCGTCTATTTGATAGACAAAAGTACCGGTACTCACTGACTTCGGAAACAAAAGCACTTTTGGTACAATTCTTGCACCTGGTGAACCCCTTCATTTCTCTTTTCGTGACAAGGGTAGGGTGATCCATAGGTCCTGGGTCGGAGGACCCCCAGAGGACACCAGAAATGTTGAGTCAAAAGAGGGGTGGGGTCGGAGTATTTCTCAAAACAGAAAAATAGGTGGGGTCATAATTTTATTCCTACCAAGTGGTAGAGCATACAGGGTGGGGTTGGGTCATCAAGGCTACGATAGGGGTGGAGCGATTGAGGATCAGAGGTATAGCCTGCCTTTGACAAGTGGGAAGGTAATTGAGAAAAATGCTACCTAGACCCCAGTGGAGGAGAATCATCTTGTGGCTCATATTTGGGGGGTGGGTCGCTGACTGTTGGTCTAGGTCCGGTCGGGTAGTGTATAAGGGGGGTAGTGACCGTTGGCCAGGTAGGGTACCAAGGGAGGAGGGTGGAGACAAATATAGAGTTCTATTTTCGGGAGCCCACACGTCGCCGGCGCCATGTTCCAAGCCCTGGTGAGCAATGAGCAAGTGCAACGAAGCAGAGACGCTGTGGCTACTGATGAATGATTGTTCATGGCATCCCTGAGATGTGCCGTGAGCGGTCAGAACTGCAGATCATTAGGAAGAACAGGAATGAATGATAGGTGCATGTGTTGGAAGTGAGGTCTGTGGCCAGAAAGTGACAGAAAGCTGAACAAGCATGGAGTAGTATTTCCACACTGGTGCTGATACCAGGAACCGCAGTGATTTGAAGCTGTATTGATGATTGATCTCATTCTTTTCTTTATTTCACACCGGTTCAGTCAAGGACGAGATGATATTCTGATGCACATAGTGTAACCTGACTCCAATGATCGTTGAAGTTGAATTCAGAAATCCAAGGGTAGCATGTAAAAAGAAGGAAAGGAAATATTTGCAAGAATTTCATGTTGTTGCACGATTGTGTAGTTTTGATCGTAGCATATTGTTTCTCACTTGTTTCGAATGTCTCGCAGGCTATCTTTAAGGACACCAATGGCCTCTTCATCGGAGATGTCTCCGGCGCCATGCATGTTTGCTTAGCTGGAGAGGCTTGCGGAGGAACCCTCCTCTCCAACAAGTCTGGAGGAGGATCCAGGACTCCCTACTCTCACGGTGTTGCCGGATACTTCGGCCTCTACGGAACCGGTCAGTTTGACGGTCAGAGCTCTGGACACGACTTCTACGGCACTGTGAGCATTTGATCTCGATTACTGTCTGGTCTCCTCATGTTGTTCTTGCAGATCTACATGCCACCCACGGGTTTTGTCAACAACTGCGACGGTGGACGCAGCCACACCTATTGTGACTACAGGCAGCAGTAAAAACTTCTCACTTTGGGATCTCTCTAGATTGCAGATGAATCGAAATCTCTCTAGATAGCTGTTAATTTTATGCAAGAATCTTTATCACCATCAAATATCAGACTTGTGTATGAGCATAACATGATGTCTGTGCTATCTGTCGGGATTCTGTCCAAGAGACCAAACACAGGTCGAGCGGTCCCACGACGCGCTTGCGACTTGACCGTCTGCGGCAAGTCAGACACAAAAGACCGAAAGCAACCATGAAACCATGGAGGACGTTAAAATCAAGCGCTGCACTCAAGTTAGATATCGCAGTAGGTACGGGAGGGTTGAATCACCGACAACAAACTCCTTGTGATGCTCCGAGTTTATCATGAGGGAGTGACTCCCCGTGTTGAACATGCAGTTCCAGAGCGCAACCTTCGAGGATCAGCGACGCAGGGTGGATGGGAATGAGGTTACCGTCAAGTCGTAGGAACAGGACAGCAGATGTTGTGGCGAGAACGGGGAGAACTTCACGTTCCTCACCGCGTACCTGTGATGCGTAAGGAGACTTGCATGAACCTGCTTCACTTGCCTGTGCCCGACCATCGTCTTCATACACTGATTGCTCCTGCGCGTGTCCCAGAGGCGGATAGTTCGATCAGCTGCAGCCACGGCAGACTCAAGTGAGAAGAGAGAAGGGGCCAAGAGGATTGAGCTGCACTCGCCTCCTCCCGATGCAAACGTGTACTCGTCGTACTTGCACCAATCGACGGAAAGAACCTGAAGGGGGTCACTGCTTCTGCCATCTTCCTCCTCGCATCAACCTCGTGCTGGTGGCCCAAGAACGTGAATGCGCAAACGGGTGAGCGCGTGTCCCACATTCGGACGCTGAGGATACTATCTCACACGGAGCAGCTGCTGAGCTGTCATACCTGCAGTCGGCAGAGCAGGAGAGGAAAGCGAACGCTGACTTAGGGGACCAACATGCCCTGGAGGAGGGGAAAGTTACAAGCTCCTCCTGATCATCACGATCTGAGAGCATCCACCTGTAGATGAATCCTTGATGACCATTCCAAGAGTTCTTCACACATGACAAGAGAACTTCAGCGAACCATCTCAACAGGACGTGTGGACGCGGATCTACCAGCGATTGGGGCATTTCCGGAGTCCACAATTTGATTTGGCTGCACATGCTTTGATTGCAATGTCTCATCGCTCACACAAGCAGCTTTACCCATCCCAAGATGCAGACAGAAAGATGTCTCTCTGTATCACATTCCAGTTCACACTGTACACCTACAGCAGGGGGGGCGATGAGAAACGCCTGAGGGTTTCACCGGTGGCCATCCTACCTCCCGTCTGTGCTCGTGAAACGCCCGCAGAGGTCTGTTGACTGCGATCCCCAGGTCCCACAGCTTCAAGCTGAGAACCCTTACACTCAGCACGAGCGGCTGCTGAGACATTCTCACCTGCCGTCGCCGCACGCTGAGACCAGGTGGTGCTCATTGCTTTCGCTCCAACAACAATCGTACACCGCGTCCTGTGCAGAGGACGTTGAGCCGTCTTCACATGGAGACTCCTCTAGCGCTCTTACTTGCGTCATGTATGCTCTCGACTCCACAGCTCCTGATGGTCGAAGATCGAACACTGACTGCAGGGAGACATCATGTGCCACCCGTGTACCGAGCGAGTTTCACCTGAAAACCATTTCCCACGATGCCGAAATGCTGAGCAGAAGAAATGGCGATCCTTCCCTGTGCATCAGCTCAGACATGACGATGAGAGGTCATGATTCACATGCTCGAACGGTGAGAACGCAACCCCAGTGCATGGATACTTGGTCAGAAGCCGCATCTCGTCAGGTTGCGATGTTCGAATGCCTCAGGAGCTCTTGGGGAAGTATGAAGGTTTCACGAGAGCCTCCTCATCTCCTCCCAGCCTTAATCGAGCACACCATCTCTCCTCCTCCTCCTCCTCCTCCTCCTCCTCCTCCTCCTCCTCCTCCTTTACTTCCCATGCTTTGCTGACCTCACACCGCCATCTTGCCCCTATCTCCGGTCCGCCTCAGAGAGTCTTTTACATGCATTCGCGACGACGACAGACCTGACGAGCTGATACTGTTTGACGACACTACAAGACCTGACGAGCTGATACTGGTTGACGACATTACAAGCCCTGCCGAGCTGATACTGGTTGACGACACTACAAGACCTGACGAGCTGATACTGTTTGACGACACTACAAGACCTGACGAGCTGATACTGGTTGACGACACTACAAGCCCTGCCGAGCTGATACTGGTTGACTATCATTGCTACGATACTTAACAACCTATACCCGACTAGAGGCTATTTGACAATTCTTTCCCCGCCGTCCGTTGAAAATTTCCAGCTGCGCCTTCGCCATGATCGCCGCCAAGCTGCCCGAGCCGAAGACTTCCCAGGTGGCCAGCAGGACGGGGTAGGCGAGGATGAAGATGTTGGCGAAGACCAGGAAGCCTTGCGCGATGTCCAGCTCGTACGAGGTCGAGTCGACCCGCAGCTCGTCCACCATCATCAGCTTGAGGCTGACGCCATCTGCACCTTCTGTCAGAGCACTCGCAAGCCGACCTCTCCCCTCCCTCACATAGCAGAGTGCCAAAGTTGGCGATGAGAGAGAAGAACATCATGCTGTCTTGAGTCGGGTCTTGGAAGGGCTTCAGGTAGCTGTGAGCGGCGAGGGACATGAAGAGGAACGACAGGCCGACGACGATCTGGAAGATGGTGCCGGTGAAGAAGAAGCTGATGAGGATGCAGGTGGTCAACCTCCGGATCAGCTCCAACACCTCGAACCACCAGTACTTCACTTCGTACATGGAGAAGAGAAACCCCGCCACGTTCATCGCGTACGTCTCCTGCTCCTCCAGCCAGCTTCCTGCTCCTTCTCCGTCCGAGCGTCTGGACCAGCAGATCTTGGGCTGCTGTATGATCTCTCGCTTGATCGCTTGGCTGTAGAGCCCCTGCAGTCTCAAGCGCGTGCTGCTCTCGTCCTCGCCGTCGCTCGCCATCATCGCCTTCACCATGTCCGTGACCAGCGCAGCTCTGCCCCCTCTCTTTGCCTGCGGAGCCTCTGCCGGGCTGCCGTTGTCGCGTCTCGTGCCGTTGTTGGCGTACGCAAGCGAGACATTGATGGAGACGTTTTGCTTGCCCTGTTGTGCTCCTCCGACTCCCTTGCCCTCATCCTCCTCCTCCTCCTCCTCCTCCAACACCTTCTCCACTGTGTCCTCTACATTCTTTGTAACTTTTCTCTGCACCTCATTCATGTTACCTTCGCAAACATCCTGCGGACTCAGCATCGCATCCTCCTCTGCTGTCTCCTCTAGCAGCCTTGTCAGCACCCTGATCAGTCGCCGCACCTCTGACATCTCCAGCTGCAGGAACAGCGGCGTCTCCCATCGCTCCTCCCATCGCTGCTTCACAGCCTTCATGTCCTCCCACCCGAGCCCCTGCCCCTTGAGGTACCCGAGCTTGTGCAGGCTCTCATAGAAGGCATGCTCTTGCTTCGCCCGCGCCAGCTCGGGGACCCGCAGGAGGTAGAGCAGGACGAGGATGGCAAGAGGGAAGCCGACGGGGTACACTATGGTGGTGAAGATGGCCCACCCGTAGGAGAAGCTGCCTGACGTTCGCGGGCACGGCACTCGGAAGTCTCTCACCAGCCAGCTGCCGTCGTCCCCGAGGTCTTGACATAGGAAGGTGCTGAGGACCATGGAGGAGACGGGGATGTAGATGAGGTAGATCATGAAGCTGAGCAGGCCTGTCAGGATAAAGCAAGAGCAAGCGCACGAGCACGAGCAACAGCAGACAAAGGAGGAGTCTTGTGGGAGCTTTCGCGAGCTGAGGGGAGGAGAGGACATAACAGCGAGGTCGTCTTACATGCTCCAGAACATGAACTTGTGGTACAGCCCCTCTGACTCCTCGCCCCGCCCCAGCTGCTTCCCTACCAGTGTGATGGCATGGGGGACCTTGATGAGCAGGAGGGGCCCCAGCGGGGCGAGGGTGTAGACGAGGAGCTTGTCGGAGAAGGAGAGGTCAGAGGCCGAGCAGGAGATCTGCGGGAGAGCGAGGAAGTCAAGGTTGAAGAAGGCGATGCTTGAGAGGAGGCGCGAGATCAGGCTGGGCCACTCGATGTTGTAGACTGTGATGATGCTGGAGGAGATCTGAACGAAGCCTGAGGCCCCGTCAGCAGGGAGTCGGAGGCTGCGGCCTCTCTCTCGTACCGATGAGCACCTTGATGTACCCGATCTTGGATCGATGCTTCATCAGCCCCTCATGCAGCTTCTTCCACACTCCTTCCTTCTTCGCCTCCAGTCCGTGCAGACCTTGATCGACCATGCTCGTGATCGAGCTGCACATGCTGTAATGGCGCAGCAGCGGCAGCAGGAAGAACCAGCACCTGCATCCTCCTCGTCATCTCCTCCCACAAGCAACAGCGTCACCGCACCAGAACAAGATGAAGCAGACCATGCCGGCGACAAGGATGAAGATCCTTGCTCCTGCCGCCTTCTTGTCGCACCTCGTGCACTCGCGGTTGCTCAGCGCCCAGAAGAAGTCTTCCTTGCTCGTTGTCTGCACACACAACGCGCAGAGCTGAGGAGAGAGGAGCCAGTCAGACGAGAGCTCGCGAGGCTGATGCGCTTACCCGACCCTCGTGCCCCTCCCTGCACTCGAAGTCGTACAAGCATGCTCCGTCCGCACACCGATACGCTCGCAGCTCCGTCGCTCGCGGGGGCACGGCAGGAGATAGGATGCTCTTGTTGAACCAAAACCCGTTCTTGTTTCTGATCAGCTCTCCTCCTCCGCACTCCACCCCGTGAGGGCAGCGCAAGCACGCGGGGTTGCTCGCGTTGCTCCCGGCGAAGGGCATCAGCGCGTAGGAGTCGGGGGAGCATCGGTCGCAGACGGCGAAGGAAGGGAAGCTGGAGGCGTCGGTCTTGATGACGTGGCCTACCGGACACACTGACGGCCGAGGCTGAGCCTCTAGGACGTTGGACTTGATCTCCTTGCCCGACGAGACATCCACCCCGTACGCCTCCAGCCCCACCAGCCCCTCCACCTTAGCTGGGAACGCCTCCTCCTTCCCGGCCTTGGTAAACAACATCTTCACTGTAGCGCTGGTGCTCGCAGCTCCCTCCTTGAGGCTCAGCACTGCTGACTCCATGAGCACGGCGGTCCCGCTCTTGGCCGAGGGCTTGACCGTGCGGATCTGGAGGGAGGAAGAGGAGTCAGTGGTGATCGTCTGCCGGTAGAAGTCGAGCTTGGTGACGCGGACGGTGAAGGGGATGCCGGAAGCGATCTCCTTGCCCTCCATCACCAGCAGCAGCTCATGGAAGGTCGAGGCCACGCAGGGCCCGTACGAGGCCGTGTGGCCCTTCCCCGTCGGAGAGCACAGGATGACAGCGTCCTCCTCCTCGGAGTCAGACACCAGCACAGGTTGCACTCCATCCCACAAGACTCCTCCTCCTCCTCCTCCCGCCGCGTTCCCCACCAACGAGTTGCCGTCCAGTCGAGCCGTGGTCTTGTCCAGGTATAGCGCTCCTCCGTCCTGACTGGCGCGGTTCTCCTGGAGCAAGCAGCCCTTCATCAAGAGGGAGGAGGAGGCCTCGGCCGACAGAGCTCCTCCTTGACTCGCTGAGTTGGACAGGAACTGCGACGACTGGATGAAGGCGACGGGCTTGGACAGGACGGTAGGGAAGTACTCGAGCGCCTGACTACGGAGGTGGATTGCTCCTCCTCCCTGACTTGCCTTGCAGCCTTCAAAGCTCGACTCGTACACGCTCATGCTCGACCCCTGCAGCACCATCCCTCCTCCGCTCCCGCTGCTCGTCGACCCCACGATCCTGACTCGTAGCAGGTAAGCGCTCGAGCCCCCGTACACCTGGATGCTTCCTCCGTCGTCGCTCGTGTCGCAGGCGCTCACGCTCGCGTCGACGAGGTTGAGGTGAGCTCCGAGCCCGAGCACGCGCAGAGGAGCCTCAGGAGCGTCGCGCAGGCCCTTGCAGACTAGGTCGACGCCCTCCAGCTCGATCCCACTGCATCCTCGACTCGCGTCGCACTCGATGCGCGCGTTGCCCAGCATCTCGATGGACCTCATCGGGGTTTGACCCGCAGCCGCGCGGCGGAGGGAGGCGGGAGGGGCAGCAGCAGCAGAGCCCTTGATGGAGAGGTAGCAGGGCATCCAAGGCTGCGAGCACAGGGAGACGGAGGTGCGGATGCTGCGACAGGTGCTGACGTCCTGGCAGGAGCTGATGCTCAAGGTATCCCAGTCGGTAGACAGAGCCAGGTCGAGGACGAGAGATCTCGAGGGCTGTCGCTCCTTGGGGAGGTCGCGGGCAGAGATCGAGTACGAGCTGGACAGGGTGAAGACTCTGCCTAGAGCGGAGGAGATGCCGAGAGCGATGAGGGAGGAGCCGGTGACGCTGTCGTCTCTTGCGAACCACCTGGTCCATACCAGCTTGTCGAGGTCGAACGAGTAGAGGTCCGCAAAGGTCTTGAAGACCATCCCGCTCGCTAACCCCCCATACACGAACAGCCTCGACCCCTCCACCATCATCACCGCATTCAGCCGGGAGGGAGGCGAGTACGCCTGCGTCTTGGACAGAACCGTCCACTCGTCGCTCTCCAGGTCGAAGCGGTACAGCCAGTCGTTGGTTTCATGCGTCGACGCTGATGACGTGTCACGAGCAAGCAGCAGCAGGAGAAGAAGAATCTCACATATGTAGGTGCTGGACATGTCTTGAAGGTCGATCTTGTAGCCTCCGAAATGATACACATAGCGATCTGTTGCCGCTATCGAGTGCACGTACTTGTTGGGAGCAGACTCGTTGCTGTAAACATGCTTCCTCCACAGCTTGTCGGTGACGTTGAAGGTGAAAACACCTCTGCCAGATCCTGACCAAACTCGTTAGAGCCCATGGAGCTGACAAGAACAACACAAGACAAGCTCTGAGTGAGTCAACGAGCAAGCATGCGCCAGAGAACAACGGATGCGACCATGTAAGCTCTATCACCTCTGGCGAACTCATCGAACTGAACCACAAACAACGACTTGGAGCTCGCTGTCGCGTAATCGTTCTCAACTAGGGAATACAAAGCGACCAAAGGAAGCGCCTGCAGCTCCGAGATGATCTCATCCGTTACCACGGTCTCGATCTCACTCCAAGCTCCATCGCCTCCCAGCTTGAAGATAGTCGAGACGTTGCTCATCGACAGCGCGTACAGCTCATCGTTCCACACCGACAGATGCGAGAACGAGGTCTGGCTGCTCGCTTCCCGCAGAGTCGTCCATGACAAGGAGTTGACATCGAACCTCGTGACCCGCTGATCCTGAGGGTCACAACCGTAACCGTAACCGCAGACGCCTGACAAGAGCAAGTCAAGCGCTAGACCCGCAAACTCCCGTCAGCCCCCGCACCTTCCAGCACGACCAGCGAGTCTCGCCATCTCGTCAGCGGGTTCAACGTCCCTCCGAAGATGCTGTTGTCGATGCTGTAGATGTGGAGTGAGCCGGCGGGGTGAAGCGCCTCCCCAGAGTTGAGCAGAGACTGAGAGGCTCCAGCAAACACGTCGAAGATGATCATCCCTGTTGACCCGCGTGAGCACATGCCATGTCAGAGGCTCCGCACCTGCGCTCGTTGTGCTGTAGGCGAAGATCTTGCCGTCCTCGCAGGAGCTGAAGCGATAAGTCTCCGTCTCGTTGGTCAGGAAGGCTTCTTGCGCCATGCCTGCCACCTCCGCGTACGACAACCCGAACTTGATCATTGCTGGCGCACGGTCAGCATGACTCAACTTACGACCAACACGACGAGATACCGTGAAAGGCGAGGTTGTTGACCGCAGCTCTGTATTCCGTCGCTCGATTCAGCAAAGCGTTGAAGGTGTCCGCGTCGTCAGATCCTTTGAACAAAACGTTCCATGCCGTCGTGTTGCGGTTGCTGCGGTAAAGAAAGTAAACGTCATCGGCGGTTGTCACCATACAATATAGCTTGTCTTGGAATGACATGAAGTCGGTGTAATCGAACGTGCCACCAGTGATAGATTGAAACTTGTAATCATCTAGAAACGTCTCTTTTGCCCATGCCATGGTGTTGAGGTCCAGTCGGTACATGCCTAGATCCGAGTACAACCCGATCAGGAACAAGTCTGATCCACAAGCTGCTATCTTCTCAGAGCCATCGAACTTTATAGGCGGCTTGGTGCCGGTCATGAGAGATGTGTAGTTAGTCCATGTCATGCTCGACAAGTTGAGACCGAAGAGCTCCTTGTTGAGCACCTGAGATACCGACAGATCTGAGAGGACACGCACCTGTCACAGCCCCACCTCCTCCCTCCTCCCTTACCGTAGTACCCCAGGGCCAACACCGAGTCGCCTGCTCCCGCTATGGCATACCGGAACCCGCTCTTTGGGTTGACCCCGCCGAACTTGTTGGTGAAATCGCTCCAGCTCTTGGATGCTGGGTCGAACACTTGATAGGCCGCGTCCGAGTTGAGAGCTGCCGCTGACCTCAGCCCATACAAGAAGCAGCAGCAGCAGAAGCAGGTCAAGACAAGCAAGACGAAGAGAGTAGGGGAAGGGAGTGGAGGAAGAGCTGGAGGGAGGGCAAGAAAGAAAAGGGGAAGAGGAAAGGGGAGGAGTAGGAGGAGGTGCATGAGCACGAGCATATCTCACAGTGAAGCCTGCCGTCCACGCACGTCATGCAGAAATTCGTCAGCGTCCTTGAGTTGCGCTTGTAGGAATTGTCGAGGGTGACCCAGGAGGGAGTCTTGCCGCCCGAGCTCGGCACATACGACTGATACCCCGACGACTGGAAGACATTCGCCATGGATGATGAAGCAGTATCAGTTTGAGTAGTGCCAGATGAGGTTGTATCCGTGACATCTGTAGTAGGAGGGTTCGTAGCAGTACTGTCGGTAGTAGAAGGGTTCGTAGCAGTACTGTCGGTAGTAGAAGGGTTCGTAGCAGTACTGTCGGTAGTAGAAGGGTTCGTAGCAGTACTGTCTGTAGTAGAAGTGTCGGTTGCCGCAACGTCAAACGATCGATTCGCAACGGCGCTAGTGACAGTGGCAAGACCCTTGACAGCAAGCTCCTGATTCAGACGCTCTACTGTGAACGTCTTGGCACTGTAGGAGCTGTCAAAGATGATGTCCGTTGAAACATTGACACCCCCCGCCAGCAGGCGTCGACCTGACGATGGCCCCGTCACTTGCAAGATTCTGACACTCGACCTGGCAACCATAGCCACGAATGCAACGCTCTCAACGAAAGCTTCTTTCATAGCCTCGAACTGCTCTAGAGTTGTCTCAAGGCCAAACACGTACGACACTGCTTGCACTTGGCATAGCTCTACAGCACTGGAATATCGAGTCTGGGCAGGCCACGCCTGGTGGTAGCATGTGATGTCATTGTACATCAAGTCGATCTTGACGGTTTGTGTCTGGTTCATGAAGGCGATGGCCGGCAGGTACGTGAGTCGATTGAAAGAGAGATCCAGATCTTCTAGATTCGACAGCTTGTCAAAGATTCCCATCGGCAGACTTGTCAGACCATTGCCATCCAGCGATAGCGTCGTCAGTTTGGTCAGCTTGTCAAAGATTCCAGCTGGAAGGCTCTGCAACTTATCATTCATACGTATAGAAAGATACGTCAACTCTGTCAGCTTGTCAAACGTGCTCGCTGGCAGTCGTTCTACTTGACAGTCACGAAGAAACAAACGTGTTAACCTCACGAAGCTGTCAAAAAGTCCTTCTTGGATGCTTGAAAGCGCTACATCATACAGATATAGTGAGTCCAGCGTATCAGAGAGATTCTTCAGGTCTGCACGCTGCAAAAAGCTACCATCGAAGTTGTCTAGAGTCAGGAATTCAAGAATAACTAGTTTGTCGAAGAAATTCTCCTCAACACCGCTCTGACCAGAAAGAGAATTGTTGTTCAAGGACAAGCTCCTCAATGACATCAAAGTGCTGGAAGGAATGCTGGACAGCATGGCCGTATCAAGACTTAGGTACATCAGTTCAGTCAGCTTCTGAAAGAACTGCTGAGGTACGCTTGAGACGATTTCGTTGCTGTCGAGCGTGAGGAAGCTCAATGTAGTGATGTTGAAAATTTCTTCAGGCAGCATGGTCAGCTTGTTGGAAGCCAGATACAAACTTGAGAGGCTGTGAAGATTCACAAAAGCATCGGATGCGATGCTGGATATTTTGTTGTAACTGAGATCAAGTGTCCACAATGCAGATGTTTCTTCAAACAATCCAGAGGGGATGGAAGTCAGATCATTAAAGCTTAAATAAAGAGATCGCAAAGACGTACATCCTTGGAAAGCTGAGACATTCACCAAGTTGATTGATTTAGAGAACAAGTTAAGGAATGTGCAATCAGTGCCACAGGCTCCCTGTCGACTGAGAACTCCCGAGTCAGAGACAATGAACGTGGCTGTAGCTCCGCATTGAACTGATTGTACTGCTCCTGCCCAGTTGACACAGCAGGAGGCCAGGAGCAGCAGCAGCAGCATCATCCTCTTCCTCCCTCCCATTGGCGGGGATGGCTATGGGCTGACGGTAGTCACAGAATAGGCCCAGCTAAGGCCTAGCCAGACTTCTATGTTAATCCAGCTGCTGTAGTAAACTCAGTACTACGTGCTTATCGAAATGGAGTCTGTTGGATGATTAAGTAATGTATTCTCAGTACTACCGATTACAGTAGTACCACACAAGTCGGATCATTGTCATTGGCACTATCAGTGGTTCACATGAGCCATTCGGGGACTTCTTTCACTTATCACGAGCTGGGCTGATCAGTTCATCTCAGTGACCGTCACGTAGTAGCGCGGCTCAGCGGCTGGCGGCCCGCCGGGCCGGCCCCGGCCCCGGGAGGTCAGTGGCCGTGACCGGGGGCCGTGACCGGCCGGGGGCCGGCCGGGGGGCAGTGACCGTGTCACGGTCACGGGTGCCCGGCCGCACCGTGGGAGTGGAACTGAGCCGCCAGAGGAGCCTCACGGCCTTCCCCCCGGGCCCTCACTCGGATGGTCACTCACCGTGCTGCCTCCTCAGTCACCGGGCGGCGGCCCCCCGGCTGGGCCGCCGCCGGCCCGGCCCGGCCGGGCCCCGGCCGGGCGGCGGCCGTACTAGAGGCTATCCTTCTGTCGGACGTGTAGCGGACCAGTTCACAACCCTAGTTCTCCTCAAATGACCCCCTCTTAGATCATGCCTTCAAAGTTCTGTGGGTGGGTACATAGGTACCCCCAACCCCCTCGAATCATTCGTCTACGACTGCTCCACTCTAGGGAGTCTTAGGACTTTGTATACCTAGGTCTAGGTGTCTAGGAAATATGCATTACTACCCCACATATTTCCTCTTATTCCACCACCCCTTGCCCCAAAATTAGACTAGGGGCCCTACCCGTCATTCCATGACCGTACCCGCTCATCTTGGACATTCTGATTGACTACCCCAGTAATAATCGAAGTACCCCTGTGATAGTGGTGGTTATCTCTACCAGACTACGGGTTAATTCCATGCAATTTCCAAGTCACCCCTTGTTTTCCTTTTTCCATTGCGTCCCACCCCCTTCTTTGACAGATGACCTACCCCTCCGGACAGGTGACCCTCCTGCCATCTTCTCATGCCAGCGCCTCCTCCTACTTTTTCCGCTGTCGTTATCGCTGCCGCCCTCCCCCTCCCCTTTCCCTCATTCTCTCTCTTCCTCCTCTTCCTCCTCTTCCTCCTCTCGTCCTATCTCTATAGGCCACCCTTCTTACTGAACGCTCTTGTCTTGCTCCCACTGTTCAGCTTGCCCACTCGGGCTTGACTATCAATAATTTCACTGTTTTGTTCTTCTGAACCTTCAGTTGTCTACTTCCTCCATCGTTTCCATCTTCCTTTAATCTGACCGTCAGTCATCCATGACTGGACCTTTCTTTGAGAATGATACTGGTCCCTTGTACCTTGTGTTGTTGATGTATCTGGTGTTGTCAACTGTACCTTGTGTTGTTATTGGTGAGTAATCTTCAAACGCATTCCGTATTATCTCTCTCGCCCATTCCTCGAATAGACTGAAGCAGCTTCCCTCCCCGTCGTTAATTCACCAGCACTGATGACACACCAGAATCATGGCTTTTATGTGTAACAACGTGATAGGCTCAATGATTTGTTCTTGTTCGACCCGAAAAGCAGCTGAAATGCTACTACACAAAAATCAACATTACTCATTCGATCTTGTAAAGTTACTGACTGATTGGATTCTGCGCGCTAGATTTGTGTGGTACTGTTGTTCTGCTCTGTATTTTGCAAAGAATAATCACCGTTGTCAATATTGCTCTGTCTGTACTTTGTATTTTAATGCTTTCAAGTGTGCTGGCCAAGGATGAACCTTAATAGTTTTCTTGTATCCAAAATTTGCTTTGCTTAGCTCTTGTAGCGATTCTTCGTGTATTAATCCAGCGTATTTCGTAGTAGTAAGGAAGAGCGAGTTCCTCACTCGCTTTTCACCAGCAATCAATGTTCTCTGTTTAACTTTCGTCTCTTCTCTTTTCTTCTGATGCTACACAGTTGCTGATCGTTGAATGCGTGCAGGTTCTTTGTTAGTACGAGCGAGCAGCAAAGATGAGTTCAACAGACTTCTACTCTTACGCGTGTCCTGCTGGAGCTCCTTTCTTCGGCTACTTCGGCGCGGCCTCGGCCATGGCGCTTGCTAACCTCGGAGCAGCTTACGGCACTGCCAAGGCAGGCGCAGGGATTTCAGGGATGGGAGTGACGAGACCGGACCTTGTGATGAAAGCTCTGATCCCTGTGGTCATGGCGGGAGTTGTTGGGATCTACGGACTTATCATTGCCGTTATCATCAGCACCAAGAGTGAGTCATGCCCCCTGCTCTGCTCCTGCTAGCCTGCCTCGTAGTCCTTGTCCTCTTGCTCCTCTGCTCCGCTCCTCTTCCATCTCTCGTCCCCTCATCTTCGCTCCCTTCCTTCCTGTTCGTGCTCGTTTTCCTCGTTCTCACCTGCAGTGTTTACCCTCGTTCTTTCGTTGTAATGCTACTGCATTTGTTGTGTTTCCTGCTCAGTGATGGATTTTACTCCTCTCTTCGAATCCCCTCTGTAGCAGCTGGTCGCTTTGATATCTCTGTCGGCTCCTTTTCTTGTGTTCCTTTTGTATTCTATACTTTGACTCGCAAGCTCGATTGTTGTCCATTCTTGTTGCCTCTCTGGGTACTTGCCGTTCCAGTGTACAGTCTACTTTTCTAGTCTCTATCGCTCTCGCTGCATCGTAACCAAACTCTCTAAGCAGCTCCAACAATTGACCTTACATTTCTTGCCCTCTGACTTCCTTCATTCTGATTGACTATTTGTTTGCCAGTCCGTGCTCCTGTCCTCGTCAGCGGCTCTTACAAGCCCCAGTACACCATCTTCGGCGGAGCAGCTCACATGGCCTCCGGTCTGGCCGGGGGATTTAGCGGACTTGCTGCCGGCATAGCGATTGGCATCGTTGGGGATATCGGAACGAGAGCCCTCGGGCAGCAGCCGAAGCTTTTTGTAGGAATGATCCTTATCCTCATCTTTGCGGAGGCTCTGGGGCTCTACGGCCTCATCGTGGCGCTGATCTTTTCAGCCTCCCCCATCGGATCTTGTCCGGAGTAGTCTAGTGTTAAGATGGAACATGCGAATGAACGGTAGCTTGCAAGACTTGAGCGCAGGTGGTTCTAGACGGTGACCTGAAGAGCGACGTAGGAGGCTGACGAAACGGGGAAATCCAATATCATGTTAAAAATTTGGACCTCATACCGAAAGTTTTGGGAGGAAATGTGGAGAACTTGTTGTTCTAAACTGCTCAGGTCGACGTGACAGCAAGATCGCTTTGTTAAGATCGTTCACTTCAACTGTCGTTATTTGAGAGAGTATGCCGATAGCATTGAAACGAGGTCAAACAGGAGGAAAGGACAAGTAGGAGACACAGGGTGAAGTGTATGCCTAGCAGAGAGGAGAGAGGGGAGAGGAGGAGAAGGGAGAGGAGACCAGAAGACAAGAGAAGCCAAGAAGATAGAGGAGAACAGAACAGCGAGTAGAGAGGGGAGAGGAGGAGAAGGGAGAGGAGACCCGAGCAGAGCAGAGAAGCGAAGACGATAGAGGAGAATAGAACAGATGAGAATAGAGGAGAATACATGAGAGCGATGAGAGGTGGGGACTCCGGGAGGAGAGAGGCATGCAGTACAGTATCTGACACTTTAATATGCCACGAGTTAAATCTCTATTAATAATGGCTGAGAGGGGATGGGCGGCGACTTGCCGTTGTGAGACTTCAACAGACAGAAGAGCAGGGAGCGAGTCTCAGGCTTCTGTTTATGCGGAAGGGCAAGATCCTCCTCCTGACGAGGACATGATGAGGGCGACGATCAGCCCGTAGAGACCTGAGCCAACGCATGAGCACAAAGAGGAGGAGGGCGAGGAGGAGGAAGAGATCAGCGTACCGAGAGCCTCAGCGAAGATAAGAATAAGGATCATGCCAACGAAGAGCTTCGGCTGCTGGGCAGTGGCGCGAACACCAGCGTCTCCGACAATGCCGATGGCCATACCAGCAGCAAGACCGCTCAAGCCGCCCGTGAGGCCAGAGCCAAGGTGACCGAAGGCGGAGAAGAGGGTGTACTGGGGGGTGACAGCCTGGGAGCCGCCGCCAACAGGCTCCTTGACTGAGGGAGGAAGAGAGTCAGCAGGGGAGGGAGGAACAGCCAGCTCTCACTCTTAGTTCCGACGACAACGGCAATGATGAACCCGTAGATTCCAATCACACCAGCCATAACCACGGGGATGATGGCTGCACATTGATAAGAAGCTGAAACTACCTCCTCCTCCACCACGTCCTCATGCACAATCTCCTCCTCTTCACTCACATTTCATGATGAGACCAGGGTGCATGACACCCATGGAGCAGATGCCAACTCCTGACTTGGCGGTGCCATAGGCGGCTCCAAGATCTGCAGACACATCACCACATGCAAACCGATGGGCTCCTCAGGATGTCCGCATGCATTACAACAAATGAAAGGTGGAGGCAAGCAACATTGACAATTCAGTGTATCATTTTGGACAATTCAGTGTATCATTTTCATCATTTTCCAGCCGTTCCACAACTAGGCCACCAGCTCACTCTTATTTTTGAAGTTCTAAATACCCTCCAGTCTGAAATACCTTGTAGAGATGTTGTGATTCAGGCCTCAAAGGTAATTGTCTTTCTTCCTCATACTGCACCTACAGCCTCCACTGCACCACGAGAAAATTGACACTTTGAGATACTATCTTCCATCTTGATCGTCTCATGACTGTAGATGCAGAACCGACTGTCCAACCTACTGTTTTCATCTTCTATCTCTCTTTCATACAAAGAAATGAAATCATTGTGTGAACAAACTGACTTGCACTATCCACATCAACCACTGAGCACGAGAGAATGTGTACTTCATTCCCACCGCCAATCAACATCCATCGTCTTACAACACCACATGTATAGCATGAACCATATCTACATCTCAACGTATTGTAACATTGGTCTCAAATATTACGCCCTGATCACGTGGAACACCGAAAACTTGACTAGGACAACTCAACACGCACTGCATTTTACACAGTTCAAACATCATCACAGAACCTCTCAACATGCCCTCACTCCCAACTGATCACTCACTTGCAAAGATGAGAGCAGCTGCTGCTCCCATGTAGCCGAAGAAAGGCGCCGACGCCGGACATGCCTCCCCGAAGTTCTCTGCTACCATAGCTGCGTTCATCGTCCGCGCTGTCACACTACCCCAACCGGTTCTTTTCCTATTGATTACCCCACCCATCTAGGGAATAATCCCACCCCCCTACTACACCACCCCGCATTTTTCCTTGACCATTACCCACCCTTGTTCCGTTAAGCCATTCACCCGTGCTTGAGAGCTGCTGCTCCCCACTACCCCCTTTGTACAGATTGATCTTTACAAAGTACCCCTACGTTTCCCAAAATATACTGATATAAGTACCAGTTATATTCGTACCCCACCCACAAATTCCACGCTCGAGGGGGCAACAGCGATAACCCCTACCACCTTATTATAGAATACTCAATGTTCACCCCTCCTAAGTCCTGAAGAAGTACCCCTCTTTTGGCTTCGTTCCCCGAGAATAGGCACAGGCGTCGGGAAGGGGCATAGACAGCAGATTTTTAGTACCGAGAATTTATTGGTACAAAGACAGGTACAAGAAACAACATATTTATGATATATTGCTAGAAAATATAAAAAGAATATGTTCATTATTTAGTCATCAATTAATCAATCTTGATTTTTTTTTGGTATTTCTATTGACTTTCTTGTATTTAGTTCATTCAGTACCAAGTTTAATATCTTAAAAATAATATTTGAGAAACATACAAAACTCCTCATAAAATTGAAAATATACTGAAAGATTTCATATTGGAAAATCTAAATGAAAACAGTGGACCTCATCTCCTCATGAACCAAGATTGTACGTTACATTTTCCGTTTCAAAACTCCTTGCTTTTTATTCCTGCCAACCCGACTTCTAATGACCCTACCCACCCATGCAATCAACATATACTACCCCGTTATCATACTGATTTCGAGTCTTCTAGTACCCCCTACTTTGACTACCCCACCCTCATGCAACAGAGTCCTTTCGGTTGTTAGTTGAGTGACGTCTGAACTTTCAACATGCTGCTAAACTCCCCCCCGCCCCTCTCCTCCCTCTCGTTCTTCTCCTCTCCTTCTCCCTCTCGTTCTCCTCCTCCTTCCCTACCCCCCCTCGTTCTCCTCCTCCCCTCCTCCCCTACTCTCGTTTACGTCCTCTTTCTCATCCTTAGCACCATCACTCCAGCAGCTTTCGAGGCTCCCTCCTCTCACCAGTTCCCCTCTTGTCTCCTTCCGGCTGTGTCCGGACTCAGGAAAATCCGACCCTCTGTTCCCCAGTTGCATCCCCATCCTTGATCCAACGTGTCGTTAAAAAGGTCTCGCAAGGTTTGCAGCTTCTGATCACTGTGTGCAGGGCAACCACAGGGTGTAAAGAAGAAGCGCTACATTGTCACAGTCGACCTGTCTCGTTCTTGTGAGCGTGTGAGGTTGGGGCACTATCAAGAAGACACTTGTTGAGGGCTCTCAATCAAGCGCCCCCCCCTTGTCCTTCCTTTCCTTCCTCTCTTACCGTCGAGCCACCAACATCTGACAGATGGCGACTACTCATAAGGGATCGTCGACGCGGAGAGATCTGAATTATCCCGACCCCTTAAATGGCATCAAAGTCATGATCGAGTTTGCGAGGCCCTCGCATGACATTATGATTGTCAACGTGTAAGTTAATCGAAAGACGTGACATGAGGTGGTGGTCGTTATGCTGCTGCTGCTGCTGCTGCTGCTGCTGCTGCTGCTGATGATGATGATGATGATGATGATGATGATGATGATGATGATGATGATGATGATGATGATGATGATGATGATGATGATGATGATGATGATGATGATGATGATGATTATGTGCAGAACATTCATGAATCAGAAAGCGAATGCGCTCACAGATTTCAATTCCACGCCGGTAACCCAATTCAACGAGGATCAGGAGGATGGAGAGTTGGGAGGGAGGAGATGAATGAGAGAGGGAGGAGGGAGAGGAGGAGGAAGTAACAGATTTTTGCTGAACGAGCCCTCCAGGTTGTTCCGGAATATGTGGATGTTGATGCCAGTGGATTTGCGTCGAACTTCCTGCCAGGAAACAACCAGGTGAGAAGAGGGGAAGGGCACGCAGAGGGGAAGGAGGATTAGGGGAAGTGGAGCAGGGATGGAGGAGGAGGAAGGAAAGGGAGGGTGTGTTTCTGAAGGCAGCCTAGGGTTTCCTGCAGCAGAAGATTACAATGAAGAATAACGCCATGACAAATGGGAAACCTTTCAAACTCCAGGTGAAGTTGTCTCCTCTGCTGCCGCTGCTACCGCCTCCACTGCCTCCGCTGCTACGTCCTGATTCATCTGCCTCGTCCCGCTCCGTTCTTCTCCTTGCTCGAAGGCTCTCCTCGAGATCTGCTGACTTTGTCGTACCCTGCTGCAGCTGAGACTTTCCTACGTCGATGGGGGTCAGCGAGGGCAAGTTTCCTTCGAGGTGAGGCTATGGTGATGGTGATGGTGATGGTGAAGGTGATGATGATGGAGAAGAAGAAGAAGATGATGATGATGGTGGAGGTGGAGATGGAGATGGTGGTGGTGATGGTGATGGTGAAGATGATGATGATGGAGAAGATGATGATGATAGTGATGGTGATGATGATGATGGAGAACATAATAGTGGTGGTGGTGGTGGTGGTGGTGGTGGTTATGATGATGATGATTTGATCATGGGTAATTCATTCAGGTGCCCTCTGTATCATCGCCAGCCAACACGTTCGCTGGAGCCGTTGAGCAGCCGCAGAGGTGAAGGAGGAGAGGAGGAGGAGATGAAGGCACTCATATGATGTTCAGGGCGGGAGCTAAGTGGGCTGTGGATTTGATGGATCGGTGAGGAGGAGGGGAAGGGGGAACAGGAGG